TTCTTTAACGTGCACCCAAATCTGAGCACACGGGCCTACAACATTTCTGCCTCCATCAGAAATGCAGCCGCCGCTGCCACCGGGATTCGATCCCGCGACCAGTGAGTCAGCAGCCGAGTACCTTATCTACATGACCACCACAGCGGGTTGGGAGTTGCATGATGTAGTATGCCGTGCGCAGCCATATGATACCAGTGTTCAATTGCGCTGTGCACGCTGTGCAATGACGGCCCCTGTTGGCTATCCGCCCTTTATTTAAACGGAACAAAATAGTGCTTGAGTAGCGCGTGTGTCCCTGACCACTAGGGGCTCCTCGCCATACCGCAGTTCACCTTCGAGAATTTCACCGCAAGAGTTGCTGTCGAGACGAAAGCAATAAGTGCTTTATCGAATGCGACATTTGTCCCTTGGTGTCCCGCAGCGCAGGGGCCGAGGGATACAAGGAATAATCACCTTATTATCATTCTTCCGAACGGGAAAGTGGCGCACTAGGGACGGGAGCAAAGGAGACAAGAAGGACTCGGCACTCGCTACGATACTCCCTAACAAGGCCACAGCTCTAGCCCGGCTCTCAACCTCATTGAATCACCTCGTGACGTCTTCCTGTGACGTCGCGCTGGCCACACAGCTCACTGAGTTTCGTGACGTCAGCGTAACGTCAAGTGACGTAATGTCACACGATGACGTAATCACATGTCCTGGTAGCTTACTCAAGGTGTTCTAATCACGGAAGTAATGGAAAGGCACCTCAGGTGCTTACGACCTTGGAGGCAGCAGAGAACCACGTTAAGTGCAAAAAGCTTTTGATGGGGGCCAAGATCACTATATAGACTGAAGAAAAAAGAAGAAGGCTTTTGCCTTCGAGTTGCCTTAAGTGGAAGCCTAAGGGAACCTGTGAACTTTTTTCACATATCATTATCACCACCCACCATGATGGTAGAGTTTCTTATGAATACATTAGAGGGAACTCGGGAGCCCCGCCATGGTGGTTCAGTGGCTAAGGTATTCGACTGCTGACCCGCAGGTTGCGGGATCGAATCCCGACTGCGGCGGCTGCATTTCCGATGGAGGCGGAAATTTAGCAGGCCCGTGTGCTCAGATTTGGGTGCAGGTTAAAGAAACCCAGGTGGTCAAAATTTCCGGAGCCCTCCACTATGGTGTAACTAATAATCATATGGGGGTTTTGGGACGTTAAACCCCACATGTCAATCAATCAATCAAGGGAACTCGGGCGCTAGTGTCTATGGAAGCTGCAACACGCAGCATGTCAGCCAGCGTGGAAATGATGGATAATACACGGATTTGTCTAATCTTCGTTCTTTCGGCTTCGTTTGGCTTCGCGTGACGCAAAGCCGCTTTGCCACGAGAAGACAATGAGCAAACGATCAGAAATTTCACTTCTCCGCCTTAACCTATCACGAGCACTAAACCGGTCCTCGAATTTTACAACGATCCATTATTTCATAATGGATCGTAATGGATCGTCATAATGGATAACAAATAAATAACGAAGGCACATGTGCGTTTGAGGCCTCAAGAACGAAGATTGGGTAAATGCGTGTACATTCCCAACATTTCTCCGGTGACTGAACGATTGCAGCGCCAGAGTTCTCTCTTGTTAATTTTGTGAAACTCTACGGTCGAATGGATTACGGCGCCTAACCGGTGAGGCAAATGCCACGGGATAGAATCTCCGCTGCGGCGACGGCACTTTCGATGCCGGCAAAAATGTTAGAGACCCGCACGTTATAGAACTAGTGGTGGTCGAAATTTCAGGCGCCCTCCGCTACAGTACCCTTCGTAATTATATAGTAGTTGAGGGATGCAAAACAGGGCCTATTTTTATATAGTCACCTGGTCGTGACGTTGACGAAGGCAGCAGACTTTATATCCAAGGTGAAACTTTGTTAGGCTGAACGTGTGGCCGGGAAAAGGAAAGTCAGACTACAGCGATACACACTGGCACTGCTATTGGAGCGTCGGCCGTCGATCAACTGATCCCAACGGTGATCACTTACACATACTGCGTCAAACTGTCCAGTCTTATCAACGGTAATCGTGGAATCTCTGAAATGAGCCTGAGTGTTCGTGTCTAGCGCAACAATCTTAACAAAATGATCTACTACGATCGGGAAGCTTCTCGAAGACGATCGGCGCCGCGCATTGATGACGGTCTATGTAGGCGTAAACCAAGTACAGCTTAAGTGGAAAAACAGACCCACGAGGAAACACTATCTCTATACCTCACTTTATCGTGCTTTGTTTTCTGGCGCATTCGCAGCACGTGGTCTTCTTCGTAAAGTGGCTCGTGGCCGCGCTCATACCGGACGTGCCTCGGTCCGTGCAGCAGAGGATCAGGCGGGAACAGATTGTGGAGCAGAACCTCATCGCCGACCTGCACACACGCGAGCGAGCTCGGTCCGGTCGAAGCTCCAAGAAAACCGCCTCAAGCGACAAAAGCGATCGCCGCCGAACTTCGACATCTTCGAAGATTTTGTGATATTTAGGTTACCTCTAATGAAAGAAAGAGAAAGAATACGGAATGTACACTTCCCAAGCGAGCTCGCTGGCGTCAGATTCCCACGTCATGACGTTTATTCTTTATTTTTAATTACAATCATTCAAACGTATCCGGAATATGCACAATAGGAAAATAAATGTGGCGAACAGTCTAATAAAAAACACATTATTCTAGCGCTCTACATCCAACTCACACGATGACCTTCGTTTATCTGGGACGTGATATAGATTTCTGGGAAAGAAAGTCGGTTCACAAAAACAGACGAACAAAAGGTACCATAGATTTTTTTTTCTACACATAGGCTGTCGGTGGTTTGTCGGTCTCAATTTCCCAGTCACCCCCAAAAAAAAACGGCCTAGAATGAACTTTCACAAACCTATATATCACGTGCCAAAGGTGTGCTTGGTATAATTTTCGAAGGGCTGTGCATACAACGTGTCATTAAGGCAAGACTTAATTGCAAATCTGATAACTAAACTATATACAAGTCGGAACGTAGTCATTGAGTTACAATTGTCCACGAGTACACAGCCACTGCTATCCGAGTTGCATGCGTTTGATAATGTAAACGCAGCTCCCATCGAGGGCTGTAGGGAAAACGGGGACGAAGAATACAGAACCATAGATCGGCCAACTCTTGTTCTTGTTCACCTAATAACTGAACCGGTGAATTTTATTAACCACTCCTGGTGAAATTTACTCAATCAAAACAATCACGTCAATTACACTAGCTGAGATTTTATTCGATGGGCTTGGCCGTTTCTGCGGCCAAGCTGCTCGTGAGTGCTGCTTGAGTCACACTTGCCCGTAGCACACGTAAGCTAACCCATCGTTCCCATTGTGGCTGAACGATCGCAGCTGCGGAGTTCTTTCTAGCTAATGTTTGGGAAACTATATGGCCCAGTGGTTATTGTGTTCAACTTTCGAAATGAATGTCACAGCATCGAATTCCCGCCGTGGCCACCGCAATTTAGATGCATACCATAGCGAAACTCTTCAATGCGAAGCTTTAATGTCCCCCAATTTCCAGAAGATTGTGTACGCTCAAGACGGGGATATATGTTCGCATAACTGTGGGACATACTATATCACTTATCGTCCTTCTCAAGGGTGTGTGATTACTCGAAAATTATAAATATTATTTCGAATAATGTTCTAATAAACTCTGTTCACGATAAATCAGCTCAAGAGGCACGTTGTATAGGGCTTTCACTCAAATAAAAAAAACACCGACCAAGGCGGTGAATTAGACCGAATAAGTAATACATCGGCAAGTTTGAGTCTGATCGACTGCGTTCAAGAAAATATTGGCGTCTGTTATGCCTTCTGCGTCCGTAATTTGAGCTACATTCGCAATTATAAATTACTAACTAGCCCAAACTAAAGAGTTACCTGAAATTAACTAGCGGTAACTCTGGCACTGTGACCATTCAGCGACCATGGGAATGATAGCACATAGATTTGCCTAGCCCTCGTGCTTGCGGGCTTCGAACGCACTTGTAATTTTGTTTCTGTGTTTTAATTTTGTTTCGAATTAAAAAAAATTGACCATTGTGAACTTCGTGACCCGATTTCAGTCGGTGAACTTAATGGTCAATACGCTGAAGCGGATTCAGGACACATGGGGCCAGAGCTGAAAGAACAAAGATTAGGCATATTTGTGTGCAATAGCCACCATTCCAATGCTAGTCGTGTGTTGCAGCTAAGATAGACACTAGTGCCAGAGTCCCCTCTAGTTAATTTTGGGAAACTCTAAGGGTGACACCGGGTAACCAGACAAATGACGTCACAACGGCAGCTTGGGATGGCGGTGCGCTAGCAAAAGGGGCATGCTAGCGTCTGTTGATGGTACACCTCAGTCAGGTCCCGTGGTACCGCCGCGGAGAGGCTTCAAGCGAGTCTGTGCAGCGGATCCTGATCCTGGACGTCATGCCCAACCCGCACTGCGGCTGCACGAGCTCATTGTGACGTGATAAAGTGACCCCCACAGTCAGTGTAGTACTTCTTTCAATCGAATAAAAAAAAACACTGCCTAAGCTAAATCAATATTTGCTCACTCGGACCAACCTAAATCCGAATCGCTATTCGTTTACTCCGACAGTAAGCAAAAAATGAGAGCCAATCCCGGAGGCGAAGCAATATTTAGCCCACTTGTTTCCTGGAAAAATGCATGAAATGTAGAGTTTTAGACAATTTTGTGCGTCTAATATAGTGATACAAAATAGAGTAGCGTAAAATGCAACGAAAATGTTTAATTATTGAATATTTTGCTCCTTACATTTAAAGACTAATGCAGAAACATTCATTCGGGGAAAAGGTATGTGCTACATAAATATTTCCTTGTTGCCGTCGTTCAAAACGTTATTTTAAAATGAATAAATACTCCATATGCCTCATTTTGCCCCGACCTGCGGGAAAACACAAGACACTGTGTGGGGCAAAACGAGACAGTGTGAAAAAAATTTATTCTTTAAGTGTGTGTTTTTTTTCGGTAAAAAAGGATTGAAATTCATTCAGTAGGCTCTCACGCAGTCTCAAGGAGCCCAGTCCTTGAAGTTCACGCATTGAATCTGGACAGCTCAAGGTGTTGTGTTGTTCCGAAACTCCTTGCTGATTAAACACCACCAGTCTTTCTTTGTGCTAATGCTGCCTTTTGTTGAACGCTTGCACCTCATTGGATTATTAAATAGTTGGATGCTAGAGATGCTTGACAGATCTTCTTCCCTTCTTTTTGCCGTTTTGATGCAGAACTGCTCAGGTGTTTTATGGCTTTTAACTCCATTCACCAGGCTTTGTGAGGATATGAATTCAAACCTAGGCTAGAATCACATTTTTTAGCGCTTTTTTTCAATGAGAGCGTTACAGGAACGTCATAAAAATCATTCCCTTGACAGTTTCGTGAGCGACTTGACTTGAAGCTTCCACTATTTTCTTATGCGTCCCTTGAGAGCATCCTTGGGATCACGGAAAAAACATCGATGTAGCACCAATGAAGAGAGTCATGTCCTGAACGAGTGCCTTTTTCATGTCGTTTTCCTGCCAGGAAGCTCTATATGATAATCCCCTATGTCCGGACCCTCTTAAACAAATAAATATATTATATATTGATTGTAAGTATATGGTTGAGTTAATAAGACACTCTCTAAGGCAATCGGATGCCTTTTTGTCGCGTTTTGTTCCTCTCGCATGCCAGGATCCCTCGGGAACCAAATGAACTAAAGTTTTGATGTAGTAGCTTCTCGCATGGATCCGAAAATTTGGCCGAGCAGTGTTTCCCCCCATTTTGACGGGTCGCGAACACACTGGCAACAGCCGCGTACTTTTTTCCGTGCAAACGTTGTAAACAATCATCTATTAAACATGAAAAGGTAGAAAAGTACAAGCACTTGTCACTGGAAAAGAGAAACAGAGAAAAGTAGTTCTCGTATTAGCTACAAAGGCCGGCATAGTCAAAATTTTCGCGTTTTGCCGAGTCCCTGCCTCTCATTTTGCCCCACTTCATCCTAAAGGAGGAAGACACGTGGTGTTATTTCATGAGTCATCATTGTGAATTCATATGGTTCTCAAGAAAACCTGGCCTGGAACGATGAGAAAATGTTCTTCTTTGGGGGCCACTGCTCCGGGGTACAGCCACAGGGATGGTTTCTTTGCCCTTCAGAACTATACCACTGGGGCTCAAAGAATCTCCTGCTAAATTCGGCGCGCACAACGTTTTTTTTTTTCATTACTAGTAATTGAAAATTCCGATCAGCAACTAATTACAATTATTAACTAGTTGACCTAAGAATAACATAACGCTGCAATTATGGGGAAAATTCACCTACTAAGCCAATCCCCTCCAATGGTTGATTCCTCAACAGCTTGGCGCTACCCACTCGGTGGGATAAGCCATGAATCAGACGGTTGTTTGCTTATTAAAGTAATTCACTTCTTGAAGGAAATAGTTTAATTCATTAGGCATTACGGGTAATTATGTAAACTTCAAGGATTTCAAAAAAAACATTTGAATATAGTCACAAAAGCAAACGGTGGCAGCGGTGACAGCAATAATGTGTCCATTAGACTTAGAAATAAATTGAAAATTTGCTAACCCGCAAAGTACAATAGTCAAGAATTACGCCTGTTGCTCAGCCGCTGTCCCCACTGCCAGAATAATGCTTCCGTGCGCAGCAGCAGTAGCTCCATAGCCGGACAATGGTCCTGCTTTTGTCGTCCATCCTGTGCAGTCTGGACCCGGTGAACAAAGCCTGTGCGCGATATCTTTCTGTATTGCTCTTGCGCTATCTTGCTGCGCAGTCACACGTGTCCAGTCAGAATTGCTATTTACACAGTCGCAGTGACGCCTTGAAACAGATCCCGATCTGCAGTGTGCAACAGTCAAGCGTTACGCCTGCTGCTCTGCCACTGTCATGGCTGGCGTCGAGCGTCGCTGCCGAGCTCCTTCCTTAGACTAACTTGTACGACGTCATTGCGTCGATTCTTGAATGACCACGTGGCCCGGTGGCCACTTGTTAGGCTGTATCTCAATATTACCTGAATTACGTAAGCGGTAAATGTCTTACCTCTGTCGTTGATTAGGACCTTTGGGGTGCCATGACGCAGGACGATGTTCTCAGTGAAAAACTTGGCTACCTCGGAAGCATCGCCTTTGGGCGGGGCCTTTGTGTCGGTGTAGACGGCCCCAGCAAGTCGGTCTCAATTTGCCGAAACGGCACGTGATGCGACTCTATGGGCGGCAGAAGTCTGACTAGTCGATGGCACCTTCAGCGTGTCCAGTATGAACGTGCCCTTACAAATCTAGTGACGTCAGTGGCAACGTGCTGTCAGTAGTATTGCGGGAAAAAAAAGTTCGCCGGCTGCAGCACGTGGCGGAGCGACGGAAAACTTCATCGCTGCGTGACCGACCATGACGAAGCTGGTGTTAAGACTATCGGCTTCAGCAAAGGCGCGTTCAGTCGTTGCTAATTCTAACACTTACG